TCTCACTTCTTTCTCTCACTCAGCTTGCCTCTCACTTTTACTCTCCCTCTCTCTATCACTTTCTCTCTTTTACTTTATACCTCTCTCCCTTCATCTCCTCTATTTTTTTCTCACTCTAGGTTTGTCAATCTATTCTCCTGCTTCATCTTTTCTCTCCCTCCTTCTCCATCTCGATCTGTCTCCCTGTTTCTCTATCTCTCTTATACCTTCTCTCATTCTCTCTATCTTTCAATCTCTCTCTCGCACTCCGTCCTCTTCTTCCTCTTTGTTACTTGCTTTCTATCAATTTCACTTCTTGCTCTATCTCTCTCTCCCCACTCCCTCTTTCTCTATCTCTCATCCCTACTCCACTCTAACTCCAAACACACCTCCAAAACCTCTCAAGAATTATCTTTAATCATTCTTCTCTTTCTTCCCCTCCAACCCTTTCTTTAACTCTCTCTTTTTTGCTTCCTATTTTTACCCATTCGTCCTGCCCCTCTCTTCCTCACTTTAACTTTCTCTCCCCTCCTCTATATCCCTCATTCTCTCAATCTTTCTTTCTTAGTTACTTTATCTCTCTTTTTCTCTCTCAAACCTCTCTTTCTTATTCTATCCCTCTCCCAATCTCCCTACATCTCCCTTTCTCTTTTCCTACTATCTCTTCTTTCCTCTCTCGCTCTCTCTCACTATCTCTAATGCTCTCTCTCTCCCTCTCTCTCACTCTCTCTTTATCTATTTACATCTCTTGGTAGCAAGCGTTATCCTTTCTTCCTGCACTGTCTCTCACTCATTCTATATCTTTCTCACTTCCTCGCTTCTTTGTTTACATTTCTTGGTTGAAAGAGTTATACTTTCCCCCTGCACTGTCTCTCACTCATTCTATCTCTAATGCTCTCTCTCTCTCCCTCTCCCTCACCCTCTCTTTCTTTATTTACATCTCTTGGTAACAAGAGTATCCTTTCCCCCTGCACTGTCTCTCACTCATGCTATATCTTCTCACTTCCTCGCTTCTTTGTTTACATCTCTTGGTTGCAAGCGTTATCCTTTCCCCCTACACTCTCTCTCACTCATTCTATATCTATCTCACTTCCTCGCTCTCTCTCTCTCACACACAAACACACGCTTGCTTTGCCACTCACCTACTTTCCCTCCCTTTAGGTGGATACCTCTCCCATATTCACTTTACAAATTTTTACCGAGCACTTTTTTCTATTCTTCTCTTGCTCATCCTTACATTCTATCTCCCTCTAACTCTCTCACTTGCTTCTGACTCTCTCTTTATCTACTCCCTATTCTCTCACTCCCTCATTTGTTCCCTCCCTTCCTCTCCTCTTAAGATCTCTACTTCTTAAGATCTCTACTTTGTGGTCCTTTGTGGTCCTCTCTCGGTCTCTTGTCCTCACCCAAATTTTTTCTTTTATTTCCCTTTATATTGTTCATATTTCTCTCGCGTCTTCCCTCCCACTGTCTTTACTCCCATTCTACCCTCTATCTCTCTCTCTCTCCTTCTCCCTCTCTCTCTTTCACGCTCCCTCAACCTTGTTCTCACCTTCTCTCCACCATATCTATAACATTCTCTACATTTTTCCCTCTCTCTCATTCTCTCTTTCAATATCTCTTTATCTTTTTCCCTCCCAAACCTATTTTTGCTCTATTTCTCTTATTATTTATTCCTCTCTATTCCAATCTCACTAATTTTCTCCATCCCTATTCTCTCTCTTCTCTATCTCTATTCTCTCTCTTGTCCCCTTTCATGCCCTCTCTCCCCCTCACTAGATCACTCCCTTCCTCCCTCACTATTGCTCGCTTCCTATCTAACTACCTCTCACTCCCTCTCTTCATCTCTATTTCTCCCTATATCCTTTTTTTAATTATTTTACTATCTCTCTCGTCATCATTTTCTACCCTCGCTCTTCCTTCTCCTCCCTCTCTCACTCCCTCTTACTCTCTCTTCTCTCTGTCAATCTCTGTATTTTTATCATATCTTTCTTATTCTCACTCTCTCTCTTCGTCTTCTCATTCACTCTGATCCTCTCTTCCCTATCATTATCTCTTGCTCCTCTCGCTCGCACCTCCCTCTTTTCCTTGCTCTCTTTCTCTCTCCTTTAATTGTTATGTTTTTCTCTACCACTCCTCCCACTCTCTATCACTCTTGACCTCTCTTACCATTCCTCTCCTTCTCTCCTTCCTTCACTTCATCTCTCTTTTTCTCTTACTTTCTCACTCTCTCACTAGCTCTACCTCTCTCCCACTCCCTCTCTCTTCTCTCTCACTATCGTCTTTCTTTGTCTCATCTCTCTCACAATTTCTTCCTCCTTTCTAGGCTCAATCTTCATTTTCACTCCTTTCCATTTCTAGCTCTATCCTACTCTCCCTATCTTTCTCACTCTCGCTCCTTATTGCTCCCTCTTTCTCTTGCTCTCTCTCACTCTCTCCCTTTTGTTTCCTCTCCATATTTTTCTCTTTCAATCTTCTCATAGATTCTCCTTCCTTTTCTCTTTTCTGCCACACTCACCTTTTCCTCTCACCCCCTCTCTCAGTCTACATTAATCTCTATTCACTCACTCTTTCTCTTTGTCAATAAATCTCTACCTAACTCTCCATTTACTCACTCTTTCTCTCTCTTTCTCTCTCTTTCTCTCTCTCCCATTATTCTTTATCTCAACCCCTCTCCATCCCACACACTCTCTCAATATTCTCTATATTGAGTGAGAGAGAGAGGCGGGAAAGTTAGAACAAGAGATAAATACAGCTTACTCTTTTTCTACCTACCAAGAAAGAGAAATAAAGATGTGTGTGTGAGAGAGAGAGGGAGGGAGTGAAATAGGGAGGGAAAAAAGAGAGAGAAAGAAGTGTAAGACAAAGTGAGAAATAGTGAGAGAGATAAGAAGAGGGAGCCTCTCTCCATTTTCTATCTCTCCATCACACCCTCTCTCTCTCTCATTATTCTTTATCTCAACCCCTCTTCATCCCACACACTCTCTCAATATTCTCTATCTTGAGTGAGAGAGAGAGGCGGGAAAGTTAGAACAAGAGATAAATACAAAAAAGAGAGTGAGGGAAGAGAGTGAGAGAGAGTCTGTGAGAAAGAGAAATAAAGATGTGTGTGAGAGAGAGAGGGAGGGAGTGAAATAGGGAGGGAAAAAGAGAGAGAAAGAAGTGTAAGAGAAAGAGTAAGACAAAGTGAGAAATAGTGAGAGAGATAAGAAGAGGGAGAGAAGAAAGCAATATAATAATAGCGTGAAAGGTGAGAAAAAGAGAGTGAGCGATAAAACAAGAGAAAGAATAAGCAAAGAAAGAGAGTGAAGTAAGAGTGATAGAAAAACGAGCAATAGAATGATAAATAGAGAGAGATAGAGGGGGCGAGAAAGATAAGAGAGAGGGAGCAATAATAAGAGAGAGAATGAGAGAAATATAGAGAGAGGAGAGACTAAGGGAAGAAAGAGCAAAAGTGAGTGAGTAAGAGGAAGACATTGAGTGAGAGAGAGAGGGAGAGGGAGGAAGGAAGTGAGAGAGTATCGAGAGGGTTAAGGAGAGAAAGGGAGGGTATCTCACTCTTCTATCTGTCTCTCACTCTCTCACTCTTTTTGTCCCTCTCCCTCTCCCACTATCTCGATTCATTCTTCCTCTCTTCTCTTTTCTCTCTATCTTACTCTCTCCCCTCTCTCCCTCCCCCACTATCTCACCCTATCTCTCGCATGCCTTTCGTCTCTCTCTTCCTCCCTCACTAACTCTTTCCTCTTTCTTTCTCTCTTTATCTCTCTCTCCCTCTCTCACGCTCCCTCTTCTCTTACACTTTTTTTATCGTCTCATTTTTGTTCTCTCTTTTCTTCTCTCACTCACTCTCTCTTTCATTTTATACATCACTGCATACATCTCTCTCTTTCATTTTATACATCACTGCTCTCTAACATTTTCCTTTATTTTCTGTCTCTGTCTTACATTCTCTTGATCTTTCTCATCTCTCTCTCCTTTTCTCTCCCTCCTTTTCTTCTCTCCTCTCCTGCTTGCTCTATCTCTCTCATTCTGACTCTCTCCCTCTCTATTATTCTCTTTGTCATACTCTCTCTCTCATGTTCTATGCCTCTCCCTCCCTTCATCTCTCTCTATTTCATTCATACTCATGCACACTCTCTCTTTATTCTAATGCTTCCTCTTTTGTCTCTTTCTCTCTCTCTTTCCCACTCTCTCTTTCTAACTCTTGCCCACCTCCCCCTTCTACCCTACTTCTCTCCTTCCTCCTTTCTTATCTCTCTCTCTTACTCTTTCCATCTTTCTCAAACAATCTCTCTTCTCTCTCTTTACCTCTCTCGCCTTCTTAATAATCTCCCTTTACTCCATCTAGCACCTTTCTCTCTCCTCTCTATGTGTTTATCCCTCCTTCCCTCCCTTAATACCACTCTCTCTCTATCTCCCCTTTTGTCTTCTCTCTTTATTCTCTCTCTCACTCTCCATCACCCTCTCTTACACTCTCCCTCTACCACTCCCTCTCTCTTCCCCCAACTCCCTGTCCCTCGCCCTCTCCCACCCACTCTCTCTTCTGCCCTCTCCCTCTCCCATCCTCTCTCTCTTCCTCCCTCTAGCACTTCTACCCACTTTATTATCTCTCCCTCTTTCTTCTCTCTCCCCTTCCTTTCTTTCTTCCTCCCTTTCTCTCTCACACTGAATCTCTTTTCCCTTCTATCCCTCTTTCACCCCTCACTTTCAATCTCCCTTTTGTCACTTTATCGTTAACTTTTCTTCTCTCTCTCTCCCACTATTGTACACTCTCATTTGTCACTATCTTCACTCATTTCTCTAACACTCCCATCAATCTCACACTCCCATCAATCTTCTTGCCTCTATCTCTCTTACCCTTTCTTGCTCTCGCTCACTTCATCTTCTCTCATCTATATGTCTCTCTCCTCTTCTCTCTCAACATCTCTTAGCCTCACCATTTCTCTGTTTCTCTCTTTTCTTATGTTCTCTCTCTCTCCTTCCCTCAATCATGCCTTTCAGCTCTCCTTCTATCTTGTCCTCTTTAACTCTCCTTCTCTATCTCGCACTCTCTCTCCCCCTCTCTCTCATCACCTCTCTCTCTCTCTTTATATATTCTCTCATTTAATGCATCCTTTCCCTCACTCTAATTTTTGTTGTCCCTCTTTTTAACACACACACTCTCTCTTTTATTCCCTCTATCTGATTCTATCTATGGCCCGCCTTCTCTCTCTCTCTCCCTCTTTTTGTATCTCTCCTCTTGACTTTCTCCACCTTATCCCCTAATATCTCTATCCTCCCTCCTTCTTTCTTGCTTGCTCTGTCTCACCCTTGCTCTCTCGCACTTTCTTTTGCTCGCACACACAGTCTCAATCTCCCCTCTTCCCTCTCGCCCTCACTTACTCTTCATTTCTATCTCTCCCTCACTCTCTCGTGCCCTCCTTATAATATCACTCTTATTCTCACGCACACTCCCTCTTCTTACTCTCTAAATCTCCTCACCTTCTCTCTTTTGATCTCTCTTTCTCTCACTCTCTCTCATTCTTCCTTCCACCTTTCCTTTTTCTTTCAACCTCTTTGCAATCTTTCTTTATTTCTCTCTCTCTTTTCTCTCTCTCACACATTCTTTATCTATCTCACCCTCCCTCTCTATTCTCTCACTTTCTCTCTCATCCCTCCCTCTCTCTCCTCAATTTCCTTCTCCCTCTTCACCCTTGGTCGCTCTCTCCCTATCACTCTCATTCACTCTCCGACACTTCTCTATCTCACTTTTCTCTAGCTCTTTTACTTTCTTTCTCTATATCCTTAATCGGTTCACCATCTTCTCTTCATTTTATATTTTGTCCTCCCTCCTTCTCTCATCTCTCTCTCTTCCTTCCTTTCTCTTTTTCTCTCGCCCTTCTCTTGCTTACTCTTCTCTCACCTTTTTATGCTTACACACTCTCTTCGTCTCTCTTCTTTGCTCCTTCTTTTCCTCTCTCAAAAACTCTCACTCACTTGCTCAATCTTTCACTCCCACTCTGCATAATCCCTTCTCCCTCTCAATTTTGCACTCTCCGCCTCTCCCCCATCCTTTCTTTTCCTTATTTATATCTCTCTCCCTCTTTCTCGCCCTCCCTCTCCTCTCTCTTAGTCTCATTCCTGTCCTTTTCCTCTCTTTCTTTCCCTTGCTCTTCTTCTCTCACTCTCCCTCCTCTGCCTTTCTCTTTCTATCTTTTTATGTTTCTCTTCCCTCTGTCTCCTTCACTCCCTCCTTATTTGTCTCACTCTTGCTCCTCTCTCTCTCTCTCATCTACATCTAGCTAACTTTTTCTCTTTATCCCTCCCACTTTAACTCCACTCTTTCTCAATTTATCTCTCAATCTCTCTCACTCTATTACTCCACAATTCTTTATATCTCTCTGTCTCCCTGTCTTTCTCTCTCCTCCCTCTACCTCTCACTCCCTCCCTCTCTCTCTCCCCCTCTCTCGCTCCCTCTATCTCTCTCCATTCTTTTCTCCAGCTTTCTTATTCTCTCTATCTCTTTCTATATATCTCTCATGCTCTCTCCCTCTCTTATCTATCTCATTCTAATTCTTCCTCTCTTTATCTTTCTCCCTCTATATAGCTCTATTATTCTCCCTCTCACTTTACCACTCCCTCTCTATCTATCTTGCTCTCTTAC